GTGGATATTAATTGATGGTTCTCTCGTTCACGTCTTCATTTGAGCATTCTTTAATTGAAGTGACTTTCATGCTAATGTGATCGCTGCCGAGTGGGCCATTAGCTGAATGAAAATGAATGCTTTGAACAGTAATTCATCACGGGATCATAAGTCATTGTGGTTGTAGTACATCCAAGATGTTGAGTTCCCTTTGGGGTGTATAAAACCATATTAATCCCGGAGACTGTAAATTATACATTGTGCTGAATGCACATAATGGAACGTTCCTTCGGGTTATCGCCTACTTACTGTAAATGGTCCGGTCTATATTCACACCCATCCTCTTCAAAGCTTAACAGACAGCTGAAAACTGAAAGGCACTAAAAGGTTTTCAATCACTTTTAGGCAACGAGACAAAGCGTGATTTTTTTTTTCCTTTGAAAACTGAGTTACAATTTACTTCTTTTACGCCATCCTACTCTTCTGTTAAATACACCTGGAATATTGGCTGTTTGAATATCGCACCGGAGGTGTGATGTCTGTCCCCAGACAGTTTGAATTCAACTGGCAGTGGCACCCACTTACTTGTGTAATTACACATGCAAATATATGCAATGAAGGTTTTCTTTAAAAAAAAAAAAAGTAAGCCTTTTCCTCGTTTAGTAATTACCTCATGATTGTACTGAACTTCAAACTCGTGTTTGTAATGAAAAGGGAACAAAAGGGGAGGACAGGCCAGAACAAACATAAATCAATTGTGAGGAAAAATGAGAAATTCTAAGCAGAAGAAAAAGACCTAAACCAGGCGACAAGTAGCAGACTAAAGAGATCCGATACGAGTGAGTGACAGCAAAAAGGTTTAAATCTGAGAATGTGATGAGTAGATGAAGGGCAGCTGAAGCTATGAACAAAGGGAAGGAATTTGAGCAAATGACCAGAATTTGTGAAGCATTGTCTCCTCAATGCTTTACAAATTCTGGTCATTTGCTCAAATTCAAATTCAAATTCAAATTCCATTTCCTGCCATTTTCTGTCTTGGCAAAGAACAGGAGCCAAAATCAGTGGGAGAAAAAAACTATCTGAGAACACAGACTGATTAGCTAAGAACAAAATCAAAAAGACATTCCAATGGAGAAGAACAAAACCACCTAGTGATCATGAAATTTTGTTGATGACTTTTTAGGACATGTCTGAATTGTGAACTCCACAAACTCCACATCTATCCTCTTTACAACCTCAGAAAAAAAAAGACAGGGAACAAGAAAAAAGTAAAGATGACCGGTCTGACCCATCAAACCGGGACCGAGATGACTGAAAGCGTAAGAGATTATAACTACAAACATATCAATTCAGTTGTTTAAAGCATTTCCAGACTCCCACTCTACTTCGACAAAATGATAATTTCGTAATCACGGTTTCATCGGATACAATCATCATTCAATTTATGCTTTGTTTGGTGATCCACCCGAGGAAAAGCTAGAAGTAGAAGAATGTTGCATGTCACACCCCGATACTCCACTGAAGGCTTAGGAATCACTGCATCAGTCGTAGTCAATGGCTAAACTTTCTTTCTGTAGTGGTTTACAGACATGAACAATGGTCCAGTTGAATGAAAACGCTCACCCTTAGCCTTGACATTAGACAATATAGTCACGATGACAGAAAATTTGTTTCATGTTATTTGACGGCTGGCTAAAATTTCTGCCCTCGACACTAAAAATCTTCCTCCCTAGACATTTAAACTTATAGACAAAAAGAAAGTTGTTCATTTCAGCAAATCATACATGTGATTTCACATCAGTGCAGTTTACATAATTAAGAGCAAACTCAATGGATAAGCCTCTGAAGGTAGGAAGCTTCCATTGTGTTATTCTAATTTGAATTCTCGGTTTTGTTTGATAGATTTTTTTTTTCATTTTTCATTTTGCCTGGCTGTTGATGAAAGACTTCCAAGATGTGATTAACTCAGAATTCACAAAAGGAAGCGCTGAGGGAAGTTGTATCTGTAGATGGGGGGACTTTTCCTGCTATTTTGGGGTCGACTTTGATCATTCTTTTGTACAGTTTCTTGTGAGATAAAGCGATCGTAAGCAGTAATCGTCATCATATGCAGAGAAAGAAGACGCAACAGCTTTCTCAAATGGTACTGAGCATGTCCCTGTTTTAATGCACTGCAAAACCTTTTTTTTTCCCCTTTTGTCTGCCTTTTCTTCTTGTCAACCAGCCACAGCTAATCTAATCAGCTATTTCCCGTCTCATCTTTCTTCACATTATGTTGCAAGTCAAAACGTTCTGTAGTCTCTCAAAAAGTTTTGGATTTTAGCTTTGATCTTCTCCCTAGAAATATTTGTCCATTACGACTGTAATTATCAACTTTTCAAAAACGATTTGATGACCATCCAGTGGGATCTTTTACCAATGTAGTACAGTTGTGGACTTCCATCTGAGTGCGTTGTGTGTGGGGCTCTTTCACTGAGGGAGAGTCTGAGAGTGTTCCTCCTTAGTTTTCATTGAGTGAACAAAAGTATTACTCAGACATTATAATTCGTGTAGTTTTGACCTTCATTTAAAAGCAATCATTGTGCGTAAAATGAAACACTATGCATCACTTTAATCTCAATTATAGATAGCCGAGGTATGAATCTAGGCAAAGTTAAAAAATAAAAAATAAAAAAAACCTTCAGCTTTTAATAAAGATTTGAAAAATGCTTTTTCATTTTCCCGACAGTCAGGAAGCTTGGGAGCCGGAGTTCATGGGATAGTGTGGGTTTTACATTTGGCATCTGAGTTCCAGAAAAAAATTGGAGTTGGACAAACAAATGTTAAAGGTTTCAGGTTTTTCAAGCTTTTTCAGGAAAACTTACTTTTTTTTAAGTGAATTGAGTTTAGGAGCATTTTTAACCATCTGCCAGGAACCTGAGCCATGAATAAAATGTAAACCAACTAAAACAATTCTTAAGCAAACACACAGACACAGACACACAAGGCTTATACACTTCAAACAATCCCAAAAATGCAGATGTATGGAAATGATTTTTGGTTGTGTATAAAGTATATCCAATATTAAGTTTCTTAAAAAGGTGTTGAAGAGTATTTGGTTAAATATGTAGATATGTGGATTTCACATCTTTCTATTGACAAAAATCCATATGTGAATTTGTACACAGAGTGTAGAATTATTTAGTCTAATCTGACGTTTTTGCCATTTCATCAATCAACTGAGTGATTGTGCATTTCTCCTTTGGATGGTGGGTGTAGTGATCATTTACATAGCTGTGGGAGGCACTAGATTCCCTTTTTTAAACTTTTTTTTCCCAACTGCTCCTTTTATTTGTCAGCATACAGGCTACATAATTCTACGCCATATTTCATACAACATATTTAATTGCTTTAGTCAAAGATTTCTGTGTATTATCTTCTCAATTTATAATATTGTGAGTATCATTTAAAAGGTTATCATAAAAATTAGGCGTAAGGTGGAGATTATTTAGGAAAAAATATTAAAAATTAGACATTCGGGCAGATTCAATGTTGAGATTATATCAAAGCCCAGTGTTTGTGTAGCGGTCTAAGCTCCACTGTCCCGTGTTGTGGCAGCTAGTCAGCTTCATGTGCACGTTAGCGCATGTGAGTCCCTGCTGTGAACTTTAGATCCTTCCGCTAGAATTAATTTCTCTCACCTGAATAAACCGTGTCCTTTGGGTAAGCAGTTCTATAACAAGGGGACCAGAGCTTCCGTGTGTTTGCTTTCCCTGAAATAGCCGGCTAAATGAACTAATGGATGGCTAAAAGCTAAACAAACAGTTGCGTTATAGTTCCACTTAAAGTCTGATAAAGAGATTAAAAAAATAAAATAATGGAATATTGCCACAAAAAAAAAAGATTGGAATTGATTTTTGTTATAATCAGATTCAAACCAATGTCAGATCACACGCAACTATGTTAAATAAATTTGTTCCGTCATTGAACTTAATCCTTCTCTCATAAAACAACAAGTTAGAAAAGCCATGGAAGGGATTGTTCAGCACCCAAACAGGACTTCCAATCAAATTTCATACAAAAATCATCACTCTCACATATCCACACTTCCCCCATTGCATTTAGTAATTCACTCTTAATCACTTATCTTTTTTCCAGTGAACATCTTTAGGATGTGTCTTTTTCAGGAGTCAAGTTTGACCCTATTGTGGGTCATTTTAGCCTCCGTCTTACTGCAGCACAGCTATTTAAGCCCACTGACCAAAACTGGATGGATGGTAATTTTACATTATGACAAAAGTTCTCATTTTATGACTCAAATATACGATAACTGGGGTGTGTAATGTTCCTGACCTGCCACAGGTCATGCCTCCGAGGCGGAGGTAATTTTTTACCAAAACATAAATCTGCCCATGGCTCGGCCACCCCTTCTATTTGGCCAATACGACAAGCATTTCCAGCACGTTTACATTTCATACACCGAAAAGTGGATTTCTGCTTACACAACACTTGTTTGTCTTGTGTGACGGCACAAAGCAGTGTACAATATTGTGGAGTGCAGCATTTTGTCTGCCTCGGGAATTCCCCAGGTATGAATAACACACAGTATTATACGCATTTGTAGGCAGTTTTTTTTTTTTTTTTTTACACCAGTGGCCCAGAAAAGCAGCATGATGTATAAATCTGAAAAATCACTCTTTAGGGATCTGTTGGGTCCTTTTCTTTGTTTTTTTTTTGGTGTTTTGTTATCTTCAGCTGCAGATATTTCGAATCCTTAAAGATGAAAGGAAGAAACATCTTTTATGAATAATGGATGGCTGCAAAATCTTTCTTTAAAAGATTGAAATTGGTAGTTAGGACCAATTGGAAATTTAGTCATTTAGCAGCCGAGTGACTCATGATGAAATGATGATTGTTAGAATTACAGCCCACGGACACTTAAATAATTATATCATTAAAGTGTCCAATCACAGAGTCATATCGTTGTATGGTCTCTTTTCAAAATGTTCTTTAATCACGTCCCTGCTTCTAATGTGTTCCAGAAAATGCCATTTTATCATTTGGAAATGGATCGGACGTGAAGACGGGCGGCGGTCAGCCTGGGATGCCCAGTCCAGCAGCAGACAGCCACAGCCCGCACTTGGTGACCGCCGCCCCAGGCATCTCCATGGAAACAGAGCAGAACGTTCTGCGAGCACAGATACCAACTCAGGTGAGACAAGAAAATGGGATGTACAACCCTTTTTTCCCAAACCCAGAGTGGAGACGGCCTCACTCAGAACCGGTTCACATATCTGGACATAACTCCGGGTTTTTATTTTAGCCGACCGGGAGCCGCAGATGGATGGGACTTGTAGAGATAGTTATTTAGACCATCAGTTACACGCTCACAAAGAAGGTGAACCGAAAACTGGGTCCTTTTGCTAAACACTGATCATAATTCACTCCACATAATTCAATTTTAGTGTCAGAACTGTTGCTGCCCATAAGCTTTTTCAGCAGTGAAAAATGACCTCTCGGTGAGAGTTTAGGAAATGTTCTGGCAATCAATTAAAATGATACATGAAACACAATTTATCGTATAAAGAACCGTTTTTTTTTGGCAACGATGCCCTATATTTGGTTGTCGAGACAGTTTGTTTTATGGCTTATTTATGTCATGTCTTCATTGTAGGCAAACTGTGCCTTTATTTACTCCTGGATTGACAGCGGCATAAAACTAAAGTGTTTAAAAGTAGCTTTATTCACGCTTTACTGGAGGATGCCTCTTGATCACAGTTTTATGGATGAGTAAGTTCTACACAAATGTCATCCACGCGATGCTGGCAAAGGAAAACACATTTCTTCTCTTAAAATATGACATGTTGTACACAGTTACATATTTAAAAGGCTGTTTAAAAGTAAGTGCATATATATGCGTTCATCTGATTCAAAAGTTAAATCAATTTGAGCTTTTTAGCAAAAGTGCCCTTTTTTTAGACTTCCTTATGTATTCTTCTCTGGTTCCCTTTTCTCGAGAAAAGGCTTCCTAAAAGCGTGTATTTGTGGGTCCTTTCCAAGTACTCCAGCCTCTTTCTACCATCCCAAAACATTTGTGTTAAGGTAACTGATAACTGAATTGATCTGAGGAGTGACCCCACCTGGAATAAGTGGGTATACAAAATGGATGGATAGAAAGTTTCATAGGCCGTATTGCCGCCAGCGTCCACAGAAAACCTTTGAAAGATCCTCCAACAGCTGGAGGGGGATGGACACTGAACCCTAATTCTAAAAAATCACTTTAAAAAAGCGTGGCGTGGGAACCAGGAACTGCTCAAACCTTCACCATCTGTGTGATCACACACTACAGAAAACATCATTAATGAGAGCCTGTACCATATTAAAGTAAACAATGACTTAACTGGACATGAATTTTAATGTATACAGCCTGCCCTGCATTAAACATGGACCGCGGATTTTAATAATGGGTGGAAACGTATGAATAATCAAATTTTCTTCAGGCAAAAGACATTTGTTGCGTGCACTTATGGGGACTAAAAACATGCTGCGCATCACAAAATCGACGGTCTGCCAACACGTATGAATAAACTTCCCCAGCTAAATTTGTAAGTAGGACACATTTGTGTCCGGAGGGAAAACCATCGAAAAAATGTCAAAAGCCCAAATTAGATCTTTTTTTTGCCTTGTGTCTTCTGAGCAGCTTGTGTCACACATGATGGTTTCGGTCATCTAAATCCTCCTGTGACATGAGGGATGAAATAATGAAGCACTCTTCCTTTGTTCAGGTGTGTTTTTAAAGCCCCAATTCCCAACAAAAGTCCTCTCAGGGGACTTTAATGACTTGGCTCAGTGCAGGAGAGGTGTATTTTTATATTACAGTCCAATTCCTTCAAATTCTGCTTATTTGTTTAAAACAGATTTTATTCCAATTCACAAAAAAAGGTTTGGCTAAGGGGAAACCGCAGGAACAAATCCAGCTTTTTACTGGCTATTAACAGTCAAATGGTTGCATCAAGTACAGCCGTCATCTACTAAAAAAAGGAACTGTTTGTGAATTAAATAAATCTCTGGTCAGTGTTGAGCCCTTTCTGTCTCAACCTCCAATTTATTCCTCTCATTGTGAGCGGGGTATCACATTTCACGACATGCCGCCATCGTCCTTAATGGTTGATGGATGTGATTCCTATCTACCCCAAGCCATTATATTCATATTCTCACATGTAATGAATCCCTCCATAGGATCTGAAATACTGGAGTTGCACCTCTGCTTAAAAATCCCACTCTGAGTTTATGGTGACTCCACTGTTTTTGTTTAATTGGAGCTATCTAATGGGTCTCAGTCTTCCTGTCATAAAACAGTTTGTAATGTCTGTGGTGACTGTCCTCAAAGCATTTGGAGCTACAGCATCATCCCTCGTTCTCATCTTGCAAGATGTCTCTGCAGCTTTTTAACCGAATTCATCCCATCAAACCTCTTCTGCTCGATCGCCAGCTTTGCTTCTCAAATGGCTAATATCCGGATTATATCCATGTGCACACATCATTAACATCAGATAAAAAATCTCATCTCCAATTGATTTGACTAGAATAGGTTTGTAAGGAACGGGGGGGCATTATGCGTGACAGAAATATGGGTTCCGTCTCCAACGTGATTTATCCACGTATTTAGAAACGTGTTCTCTCTTTGGCCTCCTCTTTTGCAAAGCTTCCCTTGCAAACGTCCCCCCAGTTTGCACGGTAAAACTCCCACAGATGGTCCCAGAATGCGGAAAAGCTCGTGGTGTTTGCTCAACCAAAAAGGGCCACACGGCCGGCTCCGAATGACTGCCCGAATCAAACTCAAGACAATTACGCTGCCTACAGAGCGACCGTGGGGGTCAGCGGCCTGTCATACAGGCTTAATCTCCCTCTTCTACGCTAGATCCTTAAGGAACAACATCTGGCTGCGCCGTCCCCATGCAGGAGTCTCATTTAAAGATCCAAAGAGGTGGAAGGAGCTACTGGATGCTGTCAGAGCTGCGGCATAACTCCCAGAAACTCTTGAAAACTCATCACTCTGGCATTCCAACATGGCCGTCCTACTCTTACTTTGCGCCGTTCTTCCGGTACTCTTTCATTCGGTGCATCTAAAAGTAGGCAAACCCCAAGACCAAATTGTGGTCCAGGGCTCCTTGTGACCTGTCCATTTTTTTTATTTTTTTCTCTCTTTGTCGGTTTAGCATTATGGCAACAGAATTGCTCTGCCTGACACTTTAAATTCACGAAGGGAGGCCTCTCAGGGTGAGAAGCCTCCCTTGACCATCCAATACTGCTTTATTATTTATTTAAGATTTATTTTTGTTACAGAAGTAAGATGGTTAATGCCAAAAACCTGACCGGGTGACAGGGAAAGAGAAAAAAAAGAGAGAAAGAAAAAAAAAGGAACAAAAGATTAAATTAAAAATAAATGAGAGAATAGGGAAAAGGTAACAATAACCCACGCCGAAAAGAAGAGAGGTCCATAAAACAGGAAGAGAGGGGAAAAAAAAGAAAAAAAAAAGAAAGATAACAAAACCTGTCCATCATTGACCAAACCACAGAGTACTACTACTACTTCTTTGACTGAGGTTCGACAGAGCATCCTTAAAACTAACATAGTTTTAAGGATAACTAACAAAGAAAAAAAAAGGGGAAAAAAAGGGGAAAAAAGGGGAAAAAAGGGAAAAAAAAGATAAAGAAAAAAAAACTAACATAGTTCTGTTATGTTTTACATACTATTCTCCAAAACTGAAGCTTTTTTTGTTGTCGTTGTTGTTTCCTATGAGGAGCAAATGATGTTTGAATGCCAGATTTGTGCGTTTCCCTTTCAGATGAACGAGAACGACAGATTGTGGGGCGACGACGGGGACTCCACTCTTCCCTCCCCGAGCCTTTCGGACGGCGGGGCCCGGCCCCCCCGCCCCACCCTGCCTCTGGCCCTGGGCGGGATCCTCCTGGTGTTGCTTTCACACCCATAACAGGCCGCGCTACGGTGGCCCCTCATGGACAAAGTTCCAGATCAGAGTCGGGAGGAGAGGGTTGGGGTGCGAGAGAGAGAAAGAGAGAGAAAGAGAGAGAGAAAACAGCCAGTTCTGGGTTGAATTCCGGAGGGGAGGGGGGGTGACTCTGTCCCGCCCCACTCCCCTTCTCCCTCTCTGTCACAAAACTTACACTTTTGTCTCTTTTTGTGAATCATGGCTCAGAGCAGATGTGTTGTGATGTCCACGCCCCTCGGAAGGGAAGGGTGGCACCACTGGGGCGGGGGGGGGGGGGATAACAGGAAATTCTCACACCATTCCTCGCTTCACACCAGTCCAGTCACAAACTTTTAAACGCACACAAACTTCGCTCCTCCCAAAATAGCGTCCGAACTACAAGGAAAAGGGCCAGAGGGTTCAGAAAGTGTACAGGAAAGAGACACTGAAGATTAAGTAAGTGGAAAAAGTGGAGAAAAAAATCTATATATATATATATGTATAGATATATATGTATATATATATAAAATGCAAATCAAATAATTGTTTTTTTTTTTGTTCTTTACCATTGGTTGATGTAGAAAATATTCAACGTTGAGACTTTTCCCTCAAATTATGTGTTAAATGAGATTTTAGGGGCAGAATGAGTCCATTCATCCCCATGCAGCGTCCAGTCAGTTTTCTTTCTTTATTTGACTTTTTTTGTTTCTTTTTTTTGTTACATTTAAGATAACTGTTACCCCCAAAAATGTTTGATGGAAGCACATCTTATAATGAAGTCAAATCACAGTGGGAAAAAAAACTTATTTGACTGTTTGTTGTTGTGTGTTAAGGTGAGAGTGTGCAGAGTTCATTTCCGAAAAACAAAGAATATATTTTAGAAAAGTGGAAAATTTAGCATCCTAACAACCTTAAAAGATCTGTAACAGTGATTTATGTTGTCCAACGGGGACCGACTGAAACGCTCATCCCTTCACGTGCTGTTTTTATGAAAGCTAGCAGTCGTTTGGTATGAGTAGATGTCGCTTCTTGTACATTTTGAATACCTCATTTTTGGAAAGGAACTTCATGTATTTATTCATCAAGCTTTAATGAAAGGTTTTTTGGATCGGTTATGCTTTAGAACACAAAAAAAGCTAAAAAAAAAACACAAAAAAAAGAAAATAAGTGATTTTGGTGAAGCAGCATAAAGATTGAGACGAATTTCTATTTTTCAAAAACTGTGTGTGGACTTTTGTGGCAAAGAAAAAGAAAAAGGAAAAAAAAATCAATATTTATGGACGAGTTTGTGACCAATCGTGCGTGACCGTTGCGGGAGGAGAAGTGGTTGGACAGAGACGGTTTGGCCAGAGCAGACGCATCTGCCTTTTTTTTTTTACCAGATGAAAGTAGTGACCCGTGTTGCCCGCTACCTGCTGGGACCCCCCCGCTCAACATGGGACACCAGAACTATTTACTGTTCGGTAAAAGCACAGCTCAGCTCGCTGGAGCGGACACGTCTGCTGGAAAAGTGTTGTCGGAGTTAAATGTAGGCCTACTGAGGGGAGTTTGGGGCAATTTTTTTCAGTTCTGCGGGTTGCCAGTCAGCCCCATCGAGACGACTCGTCCAAGTTGGACAAACCACAACAAACTCCAGCACAAAATGTCCCGAAATAGTGGAAAAACCGCTAAAGAGCTTCTTCTTTACAAGTTGTACAGGAGGACGTCGTTTTTTTTCCTTGAAAAACAACACGCAAAAGGCGTTTTAAAACGGACATAAGCATAAGCCAGATATGAAAAATTGTATATTTAAAGGGTCGTATCAGTAAAACCATAAATATTCTCTCACTCCCTTAGTTTCCGCCAGGCCGTGGTCAGGTTGCATTTGGGACCCAATTTTACAAGGAACAGATGTGGACATCACCAGGCAGTTTGCATCACAAGTAATTGATTTTTTTTTTAAAAGAAAAGACAAAAAGCACCAAATCATCTATAAATAAACGCCCCACTTTCCTCTCCAGCATTATAAGTGCATCGCACCAACCTGATGAATCCAACCCCGATTTTCATTTTACTCCGAGCACCGCTCTGTTGTCGTATCTAGACAATCATGTATAAGATGAAGGCTCTGTTGTGTTTTGGTTGTCACTATCTTCTTATGTCCCCCAGTTTGGTGCTGAGCAAGTGGGGTTTAGTTGAGTTGAATAAAAGAAACAGCCAGAGGAAAATAGCACACCGTCTTTCACTTCTAAGGCTGTATATGAATAACAATAAACAAAAAAAAACCCCGTTGGTCCTAACAGGACTTAGAATTAGGTAAATGCACACACCTACACACAATAAATCTCACTTAACCTTTTATTCTATTTGATTTCATATGTTCTATATGGGAAGGGATTCAAGGTCTCCTCCACTTTGGAGTCCATCATTATTGGCAAAAAAAGACAAAGCCAAAGAGACACATGTCAGACTCTACAGGCCGCAGTTAAGACGATAAATGTAAAAGCTCAAAACAGAACTATTTTAAAAAGACTCTCCACAAAGAACATGACAGCAAAGTTTAAATCTGCACTGGATGCTAACACCTGGACAAACAAAACAACATTTTTTGGACAGATAGGAACTGCAAATGTACTAAACATGAATCTATTATAATGCACTTCACATTATGGTGAAATTTGGGGATTCTTTCACAGCCACCGGACCCAAACACCTTCAATCCACTGAGTCAAACAGTCAATAAATAAAAAAGCATGGCCAGCTGTCTGACAGATGAAGCTGGGCTGAGACCTATTCATCATCCGGTCATTCATCAATGCAGCGTTTTTTTCTGTATTAACGCTTAGTTTTAGTCAAAGGAATATCTTCATGCCACCCCCCGTTGATTTGAAAGGCTGACGGCTAGAAATTCATTTCCGAGAACGTGTCATCTGCTAAGAACCTGAGACAGAGACTGTTTAAGGAGATTTCACTGTACAGAATCTGTCCTGGTGGATAATTCACCGGTCGACTCTTTGTTGTTCGGTTTAAGGCAATTAAGAGACTCCCATTGCTGGGTTGGGAAATATGCATCTACTGATGAATATGAGGCGTCAGGATGAATTCCAGAACATTTGCACCTCTGCAGAGGAGTTGGGCCACCATAAAAAGCTGGAATCTGGTGGAATCTACCAGATGCGAGTGAGAAAATGCATTTGTGTGTTGTGTGTTTTGGCCCCTTTAAACCTCCCAAATCCAAGAATCAGAGAGACTTCGGGGCCCCGCGGTTGGTCAACGGCGATAACAGTGTCTGGATGGTACCTTCAGCTCACAAAGCTTCTCCCTCTCATCACTTTACGTTCCTCCCGTTCCTCGTCAAGTCAGTGGGCACGGCGTGGCGTCCATCAGGAGACTGACCAATCAGCTCCCTGCTCGTCCTGGACTGGACGTGCCGCTTCCTGCAAACGGAGACCACACCGTAATAGGGAGGACGCAAGGGGGACCATTTCAGCCATCTGAGGATTTTCTTCTTTTCTTTTCTTTTTTGGGTATTGACCAGACATGACCCTTGACCCCAATCCAGACCTCATTCGTTCACCGTCCACATTTCCTGGTTCCAGCAGCACCCCAACTGCTAAGTCAAAGATCTATTTTTCATCACACATTGTATCATTTGTACAGATGTTATAATATAGTGTATACTGTACGCGGCACAGTGTATACCATATCTATGATGTCTACCGTATAACATTCTTACCTTGGATAATAATAAAAAGGATTTGATGTAAAGTTCCGCCTTTGATATTTCCAGAAAAAAAAAAAATCGACGACAAGTCTTTGTTAAATCTCTACGACTGTGAGCACAAACCTGAGCGTTGAAGTCTGTTGTAACCCTGTCAGTGGCTTGAAGCTGTAAATCTGTGAGGCAGTCCAGGTGAAACGGTTAAACCCCACTTTACAAATCCTCGATGTTCGTGTTGAATTTACCACAATAAAGAGCAAACAACTTGAGAACAACTGAATGCAACTCAATGCATCGTGAGCTCACTTGGTTGGAAAATAAACGAAGGAAATTCAGTCGGAGATTGGGAAAATATGAGGCTAGCATTGTGTCTATCATCTGTGCATTTGTTATTTTTTGTGGCGGTTCTGATTGTTGTCTTCCTGTTTTGGGTCAGCCGTCATGTGGGGCAGAGCTGTCCCAAATACTGTAGACGTTTGGCTGCTGCTGCTGCGGGCTGATAAAAAGCTACAAATCCGACCACCAACAGGGATCTGAGTGCAGGGAGATGTCAAACGCTAATGTGTGAAATGCAGATCTTAACATCAGAGACTTTTAGCTCTGGTGTCAGTCCATTCCATTTCGACCGCTCAGAATAACCTGCAAAATAAAAATCAAGTTAAACAGAAAACAGCTATAAAAAAACTAATGCTATACTCCAATTATTATTTATTTATTTTTTCATAGAGTGTCAGTTTATATTAGTAGAGTTTAAATTGGGGTAAATGTCAGCTGCTATTGCCAATATAGAAACCAACAATGTTGTTCTCTGTATTATTACATTATTCGCATGGCTGAAATATAGAAAAACAAAGAGAAAGCACACGCATAGATTTAAAAATGGCTGTAGATATGCCAAGGAAAAAAAAAAGAACATACTTATTGACTGCTGGGATGTTTAAGGGTCTTCAAACAGCTGTTAGCTCAACTGAGCCCCATTTATATGTCACTTTTCAAACAGTTACACTTACAACCAGGACCTGAGGAGCTTTGCAGAACAAAATAAGATCATAATTAACGACATGGGGGTCAAAGATGACAACATCTACAACACTTAAGATAATTTTCAATAAAAATTGAATTATTATGTCACCCGATGATAAATGATGAGGTCAAACGCAAAAAGATTAGAGGGGTAAGTCAATCGAGTTAAATGCCGCTTGAGAGAATTGGGCTTTCTGTTTAGGGAAAAAGGTCATTTGATAAATTAGGAGATGGTAAAAGAGAAAAGTGCCGAAGATTAACAGTCAAAGCTCTTCCTCCC